CCACTACTGTGCATGTGTGTCAAGGACAGAAAGGCAGATGTGGCAGTGGAAGGTGTCAAAGCAGTTTGGAGAGAAAAACAAAGTAAAGAACAAAAAAAGAAAACGATTAATCGATTATTAAATTAGTCATCGATTATTTTAATAATCGATTAGTTGTCGATTAATCGAGTAATCGTTGCAGCCCTACTCACAATGAGATTATTATTATTTTATTAAGAGAATAAAGTCACAATACTATGAGAACTTTTACACACAAAAGCAGTTTTACCACTGCGTTAAAATGAGGAATGTTCTTTAGTTTCAGTTAAAAGAAATAATCTTTTAGCACATTAGCATCAAATTATCAGAGGCTTTGAAACGATTGTGCAAAAGACCACATGATAAACTGAAGCTGTGATGTAATTAATAGCTGCATTGACAGATTTATTTGTTACATAATTTGGATGAAAGCATTTTACAGTAACAGTGAGCCAAAAGTCATGGAGAACTACTTTAMAAACACAGACACACACATGGCTGTCCACAGCAGGTGTGAGGAAATGAGGAAAAAAAATCAGGAACAGAAAATGTGCATATCCTGTAAGACTGACTTTTTTATCGTAATATTCCGACTTCTCATAGTAAAAAATGATACATATCATTGTGTGGCCCTAATACTCTGTTGTAAAAACAAATAACGTGTATCTGAACATTAAATATCTTGTCTTTGGMTTGTACAGTAAAGTAAGGCTCTGAATATAAAATCTGAATCTGGTTTAGATTTAAATGAACAGATTTTTATGSTTTATGAAATTATCACAGTATGATCGTGTCCATTCTGTTTTCTTCAGTGTGAACCAGCATGTTGGACAAAATCTGCAGACGTCAGCACAAGTTGTGTGAACACTGTAATGTGACAGGGCCTGTGGTGACAACACACTAGTTCTGAAATTCTCCCTCTAAAACATCTCAACACGGTCTTTTTAAAGTCTGGGTAAGTGTAATGTCTAAGAGTGGGGGCCTCTTCTCAGGAATGCACAGATGTGTTACGTCTCTTAGTTCTCCAGCTTCAGATCTCGGCACATTACCATATTAGGGAAAGGAATGCTTAAGGTATACCGTGACAAAATTTATGGTACATCTGTTGAACTACACTGTGAGGCCTATAAAGAGCCTTGCACGCCCCCACCCTTGGCCTTCGTTCTTCATCTTTCTTACTTGGTGAATCATTTGGCTTGGAGGCCACAATTTGGTTTTTGGCTGTAATCTCCTAGACTACAAAATAAAGATTCTTGCTGTTCAACCAGCCTGTTTCAGAGTTTCTCTCTTCATTAAGCAGCAGCAGCTCCGCAGAACCAGAAGACGTGGTTTTTACACCTCATAAGAAACAAAGCTCCAGTCGTAAAGCATTACTAACCACTCTGATAAGAGTTTGAGGATATTCCTGAAGAGAACAGAAGGAAAGACTAAAACCTGCACTTCAGAGGATAAATCGGCTTCAGAGTGTTCAGCAGCAGCTTGTGATGAGCGTGAAACAGCAGAGTGAGCCGACATGTCACAGCCAGGAGTAAATAATTCAAATAATAACTCTGTGTTTCTGTGCATGCTGCTTTGGGTCGTTGAGGCTTACAGGGAGGCTTAGAGAGAACAGAGTCSTCCTTAATGTTCTGAGCAGCGCCCGCGCCTCGCCCCACAATAAGAAGTGGAAATGTGACTGCGGTGGGAAAAGCCCATTACCTGCTGTGCTGATAGAGTCGGGTTATACGCTCCGGGACTCCGAGTCAAACCAAGGACGTTGTATTTACAGAGCTGCTGGGAAGCAGCTACAACCTTGTTCGTTTGGAAGGTTTTAAMTATAAGAACATTAATAAAAAATGCTTTGGTCCTCAGGATTAGTGGCTTAGACAGATAACTTCAGGTTCAGTCCTGGGATTTCATTACATGGTGCCAGCTTCAGCAGTTTGAAGGACAGGAAGCTCTGAGAGGTCAACATGAAAAATCACCACCTTCCAGACAATCACACAGTTAAGACGAAAAAAAAATATTTAAATATATATATATATACACACACATATACACATACTGTATAGGTGGACAAATCTCTCCTCGCTTCTCAAAATTAAGCAATTAAATTTGATATAAAAACATTGTTATTAAAGTCTAAAKTGTTTATTTTGTTTATTTGAGCTCATGCACAACAATGTGACATATTTATTCCTTAGGCAGGTAAACAATTAATACTARCTGCATGAATTCAAGTTCCTAAAATACTTTTAATAAAACCAATTTTATTGACAGCACTGGAAACTAAAAGGATAATTCTAGAGAAAAATATTACAACTGTCATATAAAAAACAAATTTTACTATAAATCCTACTACTTGCACATGTTGGCCTTAATGCTATTCTAAATATAGTATTTATTACATTTTATTAGGTCACCATTTTGCATTCTGTTGATGATGACAGGTTCCAGTTGAGACTAAAAACAGAGTTAAGGCTAAAAAGCTGTAATATGTGCTCAAGTTATACTTTGAAAGTAATTATCAAACATGATGATAATGTTTAGTAAATTAGCTCTGGAGCCACCATAAATGGTTGTATATGACTAAAATGTATGTGGTGTCTACTTTATAAAGACACACTTTGTCCCACTGTCCTTTGCTAATGAATCCAGTGATTTTGACTCTAATCACACACTGTTTACAACCATGTGAGCTTCATTAAAACCTCTCCATTAATTACACAGAAACAAATGAGATAATGCCAATATGCAATATTAATAAAGRTCTTTGTTGTGCAAACGGCTCGGGGTCTTTAGAGACTCACTTACTGGCTTCACCCTCAGCCTGACCRTCGTCTCCACCTGAACCCGGCCTTTAGGACTGCTTTAAATTGAATAAAGGTCCTGGAGTTGTGTAACAGAATTACCAGCTGAGCAGCAGCTGAGAAACACAGGCTGATGTGGATGTAGGTGAGTCACTTGCTGCTGGCGTTCTTTCCTCCTCTTTCTCTCYTCTCATTAATCTGCTCCTGCGTCCTCCCCTCCTCTCCCTCATTAGACTTCTATTTGAGAGTAGATGGGCCCTGTCCTGACTTATAAACGCCTCGTTTTTTACCCTCCCATCAATCCTTGTGGAACACCTGAGGAGGGGCCGCCGCGACAATGTGGCACTCCGGGCGATTAAACGGAGGCGGTGGTGTTTAGGCATCAGGTCCGGCTCGGCGTCAGCGTTTAATAACCAAGCATTCTTCATACGGAGAGGCGAACAAATCGAGCGGCAGAGCTCGCCTCGGCTGACTGCGGCGAGGAATCACACAYGGTTCGGCTGGAACTCTTCTTCCACTTCCAACAAAGTGTTTACAACTATCAACTGCAGGTAACTGAAAATCAATCAGTACCAGGAAAAATACTCATACTGCATCAATATCTCAGCTGATTATTGATTTTCAGTGGTGGACACAGTTCCCCTAAAGCACRAATAAGGGAACTAATTTTTTGATTAGTGCTTTAGGGRTTTTGCTACTTTCTTAATTCATTAGTGGATTAGCACTTGCTAAATTTATGGGCTAAATTTAAAAGCACTAATTGAGTTCTTTAAATATTGATCAACAGCTGAGGGTGAAAGSTGTCAGACGTGTTGGTCACTTCTCCACTAGATCAGTGGTTTTAAACTTTTTTGCTTCCGGCTCACAAAATAACAGCTGCAGAACCTCGTGACCCCAGATATTACTTGTTTACATATGCAAACTTTGCTAAAAACTCTGTTCAACATGGGAATAAACAAACCTAGTAACTATGATACAAATTTTTATTCATTTATGATTATTTAAAAAAATTGCAATAATCATGATTAAAATATTCCATTAGCATTTATTTATTTATTTATTTATTTATTTTCATTAAAACTGATGTCTGGAAATCAACTGGGGACCCTCACTTGATGTTTTGTGACCCACAAAAAGGTCCCGACTCCAACTTTTGGAACACGGGATGTAATATTAATATTCAGCACATAGAAAATATTCTCATGTTGACTCTGAGGAATGTTCCATGGGTCAACTGGGTTTTTAGTGCTTTAGAATTAGCTTTTGCTAAATTTTTAAGTGTGTTAGTGATTTAGAATTAGGGGACCTAAATATTAAAGTTAGTGCTTTAGAATTAGGYGACCTAAATATTAAAGTTAGTGCTTTAGAATTAGGGGACCTAAATATTAAAGTTAGTGCTTTAAGGTTAGCGCAACTAATTTTTAGATTAGTGCTGCCCACCACTGCTGATTTTAACTGTCTGTTACTGCTTTAAAAAGAAATGGTGACTAAATGTTACTGTTTAAACTGCATAACATCCAATTAATCGAGGTCTTGTTTCTAAATCTGTCATATTTATATAAATCATTTTAATATAACTAATGTGCATCTTCTGTCTTTTAAAAAAAAAAATCAAAATAACCAAGCAGTTTATTCCAAAACATCTAACAGAGTTTAAGGCTTTTAATGATTCCTGCTCTAAAACAAAAGTTAAGGTGAAGTCTGGTGGGGAGGATTTATATAAAATGGTAATTAAATTTATTTAAGCTCTGCAGCAAAATCCTGAACAGTGAGCACAGTTTTGCTAATCTGCTAATAGCAGAAGTAGCTTTTCATTTCGCGGATTAGCTGTTTTGCTAACTTTGGAAACTGTTAGTGGATAGATTGGCTTCTGCTAAATTAGTTTAGACTAATTTTAAGTCCACTAAAACATTCAGAAGTGTAACAGTTCTGTTTTATAACATTTATCCTGAAGTATTTATCCTCCACCCCTGCTTCCAAGCAGTGCTGGACGTGTCAGGCACCGTGTGTTGCATGTAGCATCTGTAGCAGCTAAACTTCAAACTAAGAGCGTCAAAAAGAAATAAAACAACATTTAACTATTTTAATAAAATATGGCAAAGAAAGTGTTTATTTGTTGTTTGACTAGCTTCAAACTTGATCAAAGAAATGCTTTTATTCTGAAAGGGGTAAATTGGAATTTTCACAAGTTTAAGCCATAACTCTGGTTTGGATTGGCTGATTTGCTACAGATGATCCCGCCCACTTTCAAATTAAACCAATAGAAAACTAACAACAGTCCACCAGTCTTCAACTGGAAAGAGATGAAGACGTGTCGAATTGGCGGTTAGCGTTAGCAGAGCTAATAATCCTGTAGCAAATCACTGGTTAGAGAAGCTAACTTTCTGGTCAGCTGTGCCCACCACGGCTGTGGAATAACAAACTTGTAATCCCACTTAGAGCAAAGAAAAGCATAAAAAAAGATCACCTGGCAGCAGAACAGTCTACACAGTGGAGACGCTTCTTCTCATTTGATGTCAGATTTAAATGCAAATTAAAGTGCCGCACTTGGCAAATGATGAGTGATGAATCATGTTGAAACATATCCCAGTCTTGTTCGTTGTACAATAATTGCCCCCCCCCCCCCCAAAAAAAAATCTCCATCCTCTGTTCTCTCAGCTTCTGCGAGGTGAGATTGTGACAAGAACATGTCGATCGCCATTAATATTCAGCTTTTCTTGATGGGAATGAAAACTAGAAACATTTTTTGGCTTTTAGGAAATTAACAGTCATCAGTGACTAATCTGTAATAGTCCGTTCTTGTTTAAAAAGCCATTTGTATTTTCAGAAAAGGTAGAAAGATGTGTTAAGCTTAGACAAAAACAGTAAATACTCAAGGTTTGGCATATTTTGTAAGAATGAATTTCACCTGCTGAATTTCATAGTTAAACTAAGATCATCTGAGCTACTAATTGTAGCACGAAATATATTAGATTCACTAAATTATACCCAAGTTTGTGTTGCCTAAAACGCAGTTAACTGTGGCAGACTTTTTCAATCAGTTACAGTGTGAGTCAAAAGTCTCAGGASACTGTCAGAAACAAAAGGGAAAATTAAGTATCTGAATACTCCAGTATATTACAGGTGAGGGCCGCCATCTTGGATCAAGGGRAAGTTTTACCCAATGGAAGTGGGGTGTCTTWTAGCATAAAGAATWCCAGAATTGTCTCAGYAATGGATTGATGCAATCAAAATTTCCAATATCTCATGGTTCAAAAAAATGGTGGCCCTGTTCTGCACTGATAGACGGACCGCCTCACCCATTACCTCATGGGATATTCAGATATTTCATTTTCCATTGTGTTTCAGAAATAAAAGTCTGTCCTGAGACTTTTGACTCACCCTGCAGACYTACATCAAATGATTACTTCCTGAGATTTTTTTTATTAAAATCCATC